TAGATTTCAGTACAACTTGTGACACAGAATAGGCGACAGGCATTTCTGCATGTGTTTTATTTTAAAAAAAAACCATGTTTTGAATTTTTGTTTGTTGTATACGTAACTCTGTTTGTCATTCTATGTAACATCGTCCTCGTCATTATACAAAAAAAAAAATATTTATAAGTTTTAAAATGTAAAAACATCTGTGGTAAGTGCTTTTCTTTTATGTCCTTAAACGTTTTTTGATTTCCTTTTTTTTATATATATTTTTAGCTTTTACAATTTTGACTTTGCTATTTCTATTTCTGAGGATGGAATTAAATGAAAATTCCGAAACGTAAAAAAAAAAAAAAAAAAAAAAAAATTGTTTCATTTTTTTTTTCTCTCAACCTGACTGACTCCCAAGAAAACTTCCACTATTATTCATAATGTTATACTAGGAGCAAATAAATAACAAAATAAACCATCAGGTCCTTTGGGTTTCTGTGACAATTTAGCGGATATAAAAGTGTGCAATGCAGACACACAGCCGCGAATTCTACGAATCAATTGATAGAAGAACAGGATTTTTACAGTCAATGGTACTTCAACATACTTAAAAGAAGTATAGTGACATTGATAAGACCTGATCTTAAACTGGAGGTACCGTTAATCGTGCAGTAAAAACAGACCTGCTATAAGGCAGAGGAACTTGAGTAACAAATATAGAAATTCCTACGATACATTTTTTCGTATAGTAAAATTCATTCATTGGATATTATGTAAAATTCCTAATGGTTGTTAAATATTGTCACCTCGTGCACTTAGATGATAGATAGCTATTTCTTTTTCCTTTCAATACTAATGCCTGCCTTAATCTCTCAAATGAATTTGTTCTAACTGTTGTTTAGTATACATAATTAATTAATTTATGTCAATTGAAATTATTGAAATTTCTATGAATGATGAGACATTCAAAAGTAATTGAAATTACATTAAATATGCATTTTCTGTAGGTACTTTATGTCTTGTCCTTACCGTTCCTTTAAGTTGAAAACATGGCTAAAACTTCTCAAACGTACGGAATAATGAATTTATGAATAAAAGATAGCTTCGGAAGACCAAACCCAAACTCACTAGTAAACTGGGAAATTATGTCAGTGGGACACGATGACACTTGCGTAATCATTTTTAGAAGAGAAATATTTCTTCTTTCGGACGCGAGCAAACAATGGGAAGACTGATGGGTTTTAAGTAATGGCCATTTAATTATTGTAAACGACCCGTAAAAGGCTCATGTGTGAGCGTTTGCAGATTTATGAATGGATGTTTTTAGTTGGTGTTTCTTTTACGAGTTTCGGAATGAGGCGACAGGTGACGGGAACTTTCTTTTCAATTTTTGATTTTAAATGTGCCAGGAAATCTTTTGGCCGATCAAATGCTTATGGTCTAATCCGTCGATAAATTTGTAACCAATTAAGCTGACAGGAATCGAAAAAAAGAAGAACACGTGTTCCAATAAAGGTATTGTAAAAATGTCGGTTAGAATCAATAGCGCGGAGGTCTAGACATTTGAAATATAACGGTCGGCTGAAGCTATCATATTTTTTAATAATCATCAAATTAACATCGATTTCATCTAGGTCAACGAAATCACTAATACGTTCGACTATAAGATTCGTAGATACGTAGAAGACTTGTTAATGGTACAACTTTCAAAGAACTGAATTTAAACTTTTCAATTCTCAAATATTCATTCTTGTGGTTTCTCCATATGCCTGTGATAAATCTTCATCAGGTATTTTACTCCGTCATTGATTACTTACCAAGAGGCAGATGAAATAGTAATATTTCTTTCTAGACTTCTCTTATATAAGCAAATTCCAAACAATTTCTTGACGTATATTGATATATTTTGAGCTGATTTTTAATTTAAAATAAACCGCAACTCGCTAGCTTGAATCGTTCAAAAGTTATGACCATTTTAAAATGAGTGTAGACTAAAATCTTATGTTTGCCATTAAAAAACACTCAAGCCTTGTACTTCAAACGATAGAAGCAAATTCCAAACAATTTCTTGACGTATATTCATATATTTTGAGCTGATTTTTAATTTAAAATAAACCGCAACTCGCTAGCTTGAATCGTTCAAAAATTATCACCATTTTAAAACGAGTGAAGACTAAAATCTTGTATGCCATTAGAAAACTCTCAAACTTCAAACGATAGAAGCAAATTCCAAATAATTTCTTGAGGTATATTGATATATTTTGGGCTAATTTTTAATTGAAAATCAACCGCAACTCGCTAGCTTGAATCGTTCAAAAGTTATGACTATTTTAATACGAGTGAAGACTAAAATATTATGTTTGCCATTGGAAAACTCTCAAGCCTTGTACTTCAAACGATAGAAGCAAATTCCAAACAATTTCTTGAGCTATATTGATATATTTTGAGCTGATTCTTAATTTAAAATAAACTGAAACTCGCTAGCTTGAATCGTTCAAAAGTTATAACCATTTTAAAACGAGTGAAGACTAAAATCCTATGTTTGCCATTAGAAAACTCTCAAGCCTTGTACTTCAAACGATAAAAGCAAATTACAAACAATTTCTTGAGGTATATTGATATATTTTGAGCTGATTTTTAATTTGAAATGAACCGCAACTCGCTAGTTGGAATCGTTCAAAAGTTATTAGAATTTTAAAACGAGTGAAGACTAAAATCTTATGTCTGCCATTAGAAAACTCTCAAGCCTTGTACTTCAAACGATAGAAGCAAATTCCAAATAATTTCTTGAGGTATATTGATATATTTTGAGCTGATTTTTAATTTAAAATAAACCGCAACTCGCTAGTTTAAATCGTTCAAAAGTTATGAGAATTTTAAAACGAGTGAAGACTAAAATCTTATGTTTGCCATTAGAAAACACTCAAGCCTTGTACTTCAAACGATAGAAGCAAATTCCAAACAATTTCTTGACATCTATTGATATATCTTGGGCTGATTTTCAATTTCAAATAAACCGCAACTCGCTAGCTTGAATCGTTCAAAAGTTATGACCATTTTAAAACGAGTGAAGACTAAAATCCTATGTTTGCCATTAGAAAACTCTCAAGCCTTGTACTTCAAATGATAAAAGCAAATTCCAAACAATTTCTTGAGATATATTGATATATTTTGAGCTGATTTTTAATTTAAAATAAACCGCAACTCGCTAGCAATCGTTCAAAAGTTATGACCAATTCAAAACGAGTGAAGACTAAAATCTTATGTTTGCCATTAGAAAACTCTCAAGCCTTGTACTTCAAACAATAGAAGCAAATTCCAACCAATTTCTTGAGGTATATTGATATATTTTGAGCAGATTTTTAATTTAAAATGAACCGCAACTCGCTAACTTGAATCTTTGAAAAGTTATGACTATTTTAAAACGAGTGAAGACTAAAATAATGTTTGCCATTAGAAAACTCTCAAGCCTTGTGCTTCAAACGATAGAAGCAAATTCCAAATAATTCCTTGAGCTATATTGATATATTTTGAGCTGATTCTTAATTTAAAATAAACTGAAACTCGCTAGCTTGAATCGTTCAAAAGTTATAACCATTTTAAAACGAGTGAAGACTAAAATCTTGTTTGCCATTAGAAAACTCTCAAGCCTCGTACTTCAAACGATAGAAGCATATTCCAAACAATTTCTTGAGGTATATTGATATATTTTGAGCTGATTTTTAATTTGAAATGAACCGCAACTCGCTAGTTTGAATCGTTCAAAAGTTATGAGAATTTTAAAACGAGTGAAGACTAAAATCTTATGTTTGCCATTAGAAAACTCTCAAGCCTTGTACTTCAAACGATAGAAGCAAATTCCAAATAATTTCTGGAGGTATATTGATATATTTTGAGCTGATTTTTAATTTAAAATAAACCGCAACTCGCTAGTTTAAATCGTTCAAAAGTTATGAGAATTTTAAAACGAGTGAAGACTAAAATCTTATGTTTGCCATTAGAAAACACTCAAGCCTTGTACTTCAAACGATAGAAGCAAATTCCAAACAATTTCTTGACGTATATTCATATATTTTGAGCTGATTTTCAATTTAAAATAAACCGCAACTCGCTAGCTTGAATCGTTCAAAAGTTATGACCATTTTAAAACGAGTGAAGACTAAAATCCTATGTTTGCCATTAGAAAACTCTCAAGCCTTGTACTTCAAACGATAAAAGCAAATTCCAAACAATTTCTTGAGGTATATTGATATATTTTGAGCTGATTTTTAATTTAAAATAAACCGCAACTCGCTAGCAATCGTTCAAAAGTTATGACCATTTCAAAACGAGTGAAGACTAAAATCTTATGTTTGCCATTAGAAAACTCTCAAGCCTTGTACTTCAAAGGATAGAAGCAAATTCCAAACAATTTCTTAAGGTAGGTATATTGATGTATCTTGAGCTGATTTTTAATTTAAAATAAACTGCAACTTGCTAGCTTGAATCGTTTAAAAGTTATGACTATTTTAAAACGAGTCAAGACTAAAATCTTATGTTTGCCATTAGAAAACTATCAAGCCTTGTACTTCAAACGATAGAAGCAGATTCCAAACAATTTCTTGAGGTATATTGATATATTTTGAGCTGATTTTTAATTTGAAATAAACCGCAACTCCCTAGCTTGAATCGTTTAAAAGTTATGACCATTTTAAAACGAGTGAAGACTAAAATGTTGTTTGCCATTAGAAAACTCCCAAGCCTTGTACTTCAAACGATAGAACTTATCTGCCATATAAGGCACAATAATAGTTTTTAATTCATCCAAAATTTGCTTCTACTAAATTACAGAAAAGTATCTTGCCATTTAGTGAAAGTATATATCACTCTTATGGATATGTCTACTACATTTCAAACATATGTAATGATTTCCCTAATTTTAGTATTAAGTGTATTTTACTTTCGCATTAGGTATTTGTATGCATATCTGCTGAATTACTTGTTCGTAATCACAAGTTGTATTATTAAAATTGTTTCTTTAATTTCAGAAAAAGCTGGACAGAACCAGAAAGGAAATGCGATTGTATATATTACTTATGATCGGCCTGTTGTGTCAAGGGGTAAGTGATATTAAGCATAATTTTATTCAAATTTAAACTAAAAACATAAGTCATTTATGGAATGCATTCACAGCTAAATGAAATCCATGTTAATTAAATTCTTGAACCAGGAAAAAAAAACGAGATAATAATTAATCTTATTCGTGTACCATTAGGTGTGACAACTTTACCAGTTCCACATGCTTCGGCGGTAAATCTTTTCTAGTCAGGACACTGTCTCCATAAATTATGGGGTTTTAAATAGCCGTAAATCGACGGTAATAAGGTTTGCACTAAAACGATTTGATAGCTTAGTCAAGAGCCTTTACGCAAATTGAACGTGACGCTTTAATAAAATTGAATCAAAATAATTCGCGATTTTGATGCTGACAGAGATGTTTTTAGTAATTCGAGAAAAATGCTACAAAATTTGTGTGTATATTCGAGAGTCGACTTAGTTCCATATATACTACAGAGTACCTATCTATCTATCTATCTATTCAGCCTTCTTCAGTCCATCTTTGGACATAGGCCTCCCCCAGTCTTCTCCATTCTTCTCTGTCTGTTGCCATGTTCATCCACCTGGTTCCAGCGTGCTTCTTCAGGTCATCAGCATACCTCATCTGGGGTCTTCCTCTATTTCTTTTATTCTCCCAAGGTCTCCAGCTTAAGATACATTTATTCCATCGTAGAGTACCTACCTACTCAAAAAAAAAAGAAAACAAGAAATTAGCAAAACAGTGACGAGGATCGCATGATGAATTGTGAAAATATATTCTTAACTAGATAGCGCTGACACAACTCAAGAACTGTGATGCTCCTAGAGAAGATCAGATCACAAGCATGTTGGAAGTCGTAGGTGACATGCTTCTCTTCAAGGAAGGTGATATTATATGATTGTATTTATGGAGAGTATTACATGTGGATTTATTAGCCATCTATAATATACCAGCTACTGAGTTAGATCATGACTCGCCTGGGATAGAAATATTTTTACCAGCCATTGGTGAGTTGGTGTAACCACCGCCACCTGATTGCGACGGTTGGGTATGGAGACTTTGTTTTAGCACTGGTAAAGGCCTTTTTGTACTGCGGTAGCGTGCCACCAGGGACTTTGTTTAAAGTCCCACTGAAAATCTAGGTAACTTTGAACGGATACTTTTTATTAATCTGATTAAATTGCCTCTTCCAGTGCGGGTTCTTGCTACCTGAGCTGTACGCAGTTAGTTGACATGCTAGCTCAGGGTTTTCAAAAGGAAATAAAAGAATCAGTTTTTCTTACTAAACTCTAACAATGGTTTATTGAACAAATGGTAAATCTTGGTAAGGAAATGAAAGAAAAGCAAAGAATATACAGTAGGTTATTAACAATGTTTACTGAAATGAAATGAAAGAAAATACATACGGAGATTTGGAATGATAGGGACTGAAATCAATGAGCGTCCTATATAGGGCGTTCCTTGATGGTACAAGTTACATGAGAAATTAAGGATTGAAAGATACAGAAAATAAAGACTAGGTTATAATTCTTAGTGGGTAAAAGTCACGGGCGTCCTCGACAAGGGAATGACAAAACGGCCTTGTTATTCAGGGTAAGGTACGTGTTGGAAAAGAGATTTGAGTTGTGAAGCTAACTCAATGGTTTTGTTCTTTACACAGGGGAGAAAATAAATAATAGACAGAAAACAACAATCATGGTGAATAAATTAAAATATTTGAAATTGAAACATTACCTAAGGTCTCGGAAAGAGAGTCAGCAGAGAGACATCAACACTAAACACCAGAACTTCGTTACAGAACTGAATGAGTCTAGGAGATTCACAGGCTTATTTATATTGGCAGCTTGATGACGCTTTTGAAATTCTTATCGGTCGCAAAACATGCGGTTTGTTCATGGAACCAGGGGAGTCGAGAGTCGTATTTTAAGACACAATTAGGACACTGTTTCGGGGTCCAAATGATAACTCTTGACTCTCGGCACGATTTCGTCGGAAATTTAGCGACTTAATCTCGCTGGGAAAAAACCAATTAATTGTATTACGAAGCAAAAAAAAAAAAGAATTTCTAGGGCCGTTTTGTTACATTAGATTATATGAAGAGCGATGAACTAAGCCAGTATAAGTTCCAGGTCTGCTTTATTTACGAAAATGCCACCTAACATGTGAAATTTTAACGCAGATTGGATTACCGGTATACGATGTTCACTCTCTCCAACGTTATCCACCTCTGGTTAGAGAAATGTTCCCATTCTGGAAGAACAACTTACACTTCATGGATAAAATCGTCAATTCATCTGAATGTTACAAGAACTCAACAAGATTCCTAAAGCGGTAGACCTCAGGATGAACCTCCAAAAGACCAAAAATTTGTTTGTGGAAGTGTTTGGAGAGTATCAATCGGGAAGTTAGGTTCATCAAACTTCCAGACAGATTAACTGGAATCATACGTAAAGTTTTCTTCTTACGGAGGACGAGACGATAACGCTACCATCTTCCTGGAGAGAGGCTCAGGAACTTTGCCAAGAATTCTGAAATCGTTCGAGAGCTCCTCGTTCCTTCCCCTATCGTGAGATGATCGACACGACAGTTTGAATGGTGTTAACGAAATTCCACAATCGATCCAGGCTGCATTGTAATGTGGGTAGGGATGGTGGAAATCTCGTTAATCCAGGTTAATCCAAAGTCACTGCTTCCAGTTGGAAGCAAGTCAAAGAAACAGAATGCAGAAATAGGAGATAAAGAGAACGATTCTGTGTGGAAAAAACTAAAATGATGAATGGAGCCAGAACAACATTAATAAATTGGAGACCAAGGGAAAAAAAGAGGATTGTCGAACCGTTAGCGAAAACCTTGAAAGAGGTTTACGTTTAGAAGTTAATCAAAGACCTAATAATTTCAAAAATGATAATTTAACTTCGTTCAAAATAAATATTTAATATTTTCCAGTGAGAATAAAAATAATTTGATGATTGATGATGAAGCCAAGCAATCATCGATAAAATCGATTCCATTTTGATGCACAGCACTAACAAGTCTCCAACAACAAGTCCCAATCACTTCTTCTATACGTTCCTAAGTGATTTCTAAGGCGATTATCTTTCAATTTGATTAATAAATTCAATAAATCATCAGTCTCGGCTTCCGTAAATTAAATAATTTAAGTTGGCTACTTTGAATAATTTATATCTTCTAAACATAGGTTTGAAGCAAACACATCAAACAAATCTGATTTATAATGGTAGGAAACAACCCCTTTTTAACACTGTCCTTGGTGTAGTTTCCTGGCCACGATATGAAACAAAAAATTGACTAGAGAAATATCTTGCAAATATAATATGAAAAAAAAAAATTCATTCGAATCCTCTATACAGGAAAAAATTATGAATTGGTGATATGGTTGTGTTATGAGAAGAAGGCACTCCTCCATTAAACTGGCAGAAGGTCTAGCCTGAGTGGTCAGCATTGGAACTTCACAAGAGTCAAATAGAACGAGATATTAACTTTATCAATTCTGAGTTCACGTTGGATTAAACTTTAATAACCTCCATTGAAGACAGTAAATGAAGAGTAAGGAAGAAGCAAAGTATAAATATCAAAACAGCAGCAGAATTCTATAGGAACATGAAACATATGCTTCTAAGCAAACCAAAATGATATGTTTGAAGAATTCGGTTGGATTGCTTTTCAAGAAGGCAACCAACAAATATTTTGCCTGTCACATGTTTTCATACTAGTTTACTGGTCACTAGTAATGACCATTAAGAATCTAGCATTGTCTATGCCTAAAGCTGGACCACAGATAGAAAATTGCTCATTGCAATAATTAAATATACAATTATACCTTTTATATACATTCATAGCATGTAATAATATAATAATTATCATTCATTATCCTATTCACACATAATAGCAGTTATTATCCACTTGTCTGAATTGCATCACTCGCCTTCGCCTTGTGAAGACATTCAGCATTTAAAATCGAATCTAATATTGATCAGATCACACGAGACCCATCGTCCCATCATCGATACCCACGCCCATCTCTGTTGTCGGCATGATGGGCAAAAGTAAAGTAAATGTATGTTTGGGTCAGTTGTCGCCCAAAGCTCTTGGTCATGAAACCGTTATAGTCCGGGCCTGCCTCGGGTGTATTTTGCCGCCCATATGCGAAACTTATCTTAACTAGTGTGACATCAGTGATTTTACTTAAATATTCTTTATTATATTGAAGAATTTTTTTATTGTGTAAATATGTTAAATATGAATCATCAGCATTTTTGGGTGGAGTTTTTCATATATTAATATTAGAAAACATTCCTGACAGGTGTGCTTTATGAACAATGGATATTATAAATTGTATTGATGCTGCCGCAAGACATTTTCTCAATGCCGCCTTATTGGAAGTATGTTTTCTAAAGTGCAAATACTACTCCAAAATCCTTTTGTCATCATATAGGTACAGAGCTGGGCAGTATTTGCAATTCTAAATACTTTTTAGTATTTAAATACTTAAAAGTATTTAAATACCTAGTATTTAAATACTTTTCTAAAACTGGTATTTGTATTTATGAATCCAAATACTTTTTGAAATATTTGGTATTTAAATACTTTAAAGTATTTTAAATACTTTCAAAAGTAGTTAAATACTTTCAAGTATTTAACTACTATCAAAAGTATTTAAATACTTTTGAAAGTATTTAAATACTTTTTCTTCTGCAAAAAATATACAGATGAACAAGATTCAACTCGTCACATTATCAGTTCCTAGACTAGACACGTGCCGCGTGCTTATCTTTGGCTAGACGGCTTCTGAAAATATATGCAGGCAGGCAGGGTAGTTTGTTTACGCGCTTTTGGTGAAAAATATTTGTTGTTTCTGCTGAGGTTGTTGTGTTGGTTCAAAGGAAAAGCACAAATAGTGAAGTGAATGAAGTGAATAATAAATTTGAAAAACGGTAAGGACATATTGTTTTATGCTTTAAAAATGCGGGGTTTTGTATTGGTAAAAATGCGCCTCATCTA